TTCGTTGATGCTATTTTTAGCATCTATGGAGAAACTCAAGCCTTTTCCCTTAGGTCCATTAATATAGTTTAGTATATTAATGGATTTCCTAATGTTGAACTTGCCTTGCATTCCTGGAAAAAAATAAACAGATGGAGTTTTGAATTTTCCTTCTTAGTATTTTATTTAGTGTTTTTGTGTAAATATTTGTAACATATTGGTTTGCAATTTTCTTTTTTCATTTTGTGTTTAGGCTATGTTTATCAAGTTCTAGCATCAATGTTATACATGCTTCATAAAAAGAATCAGGAAATTTCCCTTCATTTTCAATGCCTAGGATAATTTATGGAGCATTGGAAATGTTTGGCCACATTCCTCTGCAAAACCATCTGGTCCTGGGGGTTTTTTTGTTGGGGCAGTTTTTTGATAGCTTTTTAGATTTCTTTTATTGAATTTTGTCTAAGTATTCTATTTCCAGTGGGTCACTTTTAGTAAACTTCATTCTCCCAAGACATGTACTTATTTTATTTAGGCTTTATAATTGATTTGCGTAGAGATTTATTTGCAAAGTAGAGTCTTATTGTTCCTTAACTTTTTTCTGTTTTAATGGTTATTCTCCTTTTTAAATTCTTATATTGTATGTTCGTGCTCCTCTGCTATTTGATTAAGTTAGATGGTTGTTTGTCTTTTCCGTTATATTGTTTTAGAAAATGGAATTTTGATTTATTAGGTATGTCTGTTGTTTTCTCCTTTCCACCTCATTGATTTTTGCTTTGATTTGTCTTGTTTCCCTCCTTGTAGTTAGTTTTGAATTATCTTGTTGTTATTTTGCTAACTTTTTGAGCCAGGAATTTAGTTCATTTGTTTTCACTTTTTTCATCAAAATATTTAGTGTTACGAATTTTCCTGATTCCTACTTTAAATGTGTCTTTTTGATTTTCATGTGCAGTGTTTTCATTGTTATTATTCTTTAGATATTCTTCAATTTTGGTTTGTATTTTTCCTTTTATCTCAGAATTGTTGAATATATTTTTTTTTAAATGGGAAGGACTCTTGGTTTTAGAAAATATTTCGGAGGTACATCTATGTGAGCGCCAGTGCCACCGTGTCTTCGTCACAGCTCTGCAGTCTGCGCTCCTGCTCGTGAACGTGGTGGGCCTGGCACTTGCCCACATTTTCTTTACTTTCTGTTAGTAATGTTTTACAGTTTTCAGTGCTTGCACCTTTCTTAAATTTATTCCTAGGATTTAAAAAAATGTCCAATGAGTTTTAATTTTATTTTTAACTCAAAAATTTTGGATGTAATTTTAGATTTAAGGAAAAGGTGCCAGATTAACAGGAAGACTTCTTGTATCTATTTCACCCAAATTTCCCAAATGTTAACTTCTCCCTGCATTTGCTTTATTCCTGTCTCTTTTGTGTATGTGTGTATATATGGCTTTTCTCTGAACAAGCTGACAGTGAGTTGCAGACACAATGCTTCTTGATCCCCATAGCTACAGTGTAGTGACAAAATCAGGAAATCAACATGGATATGCCAGTCTTGTCCAGTCAGATTCATAGGACAGACCTTGTGATTGTGTCCTTTTTAGTCCATGAAACCCCAGGTTATGTGTTAGTTTTAGTGATCCCATCTCCTTAGCCTCTTTTTATCTAGAACAGCTCCTCAATCTGTCTTTGTTTTGAGGCATTGCCATTGTTGAAGGTGGCTGGTCAGTTCGTTGTTCCTGGTGTTTCTCCTGGTCATACCCTTGAGGGATGTCGTGCTCTTCCTAGTGCACTCACTGTGTCAGGAGGCACGTGGTGTTGGTTTGCCCCCTTGCCGGTGATGTTCACTAGCATCATGTGGTTAAGGTAGTGTCTGCCAGGTTTCTACTGTGTAAAGTTTTTTTTTTTAATTAATAAGTATCTTGGGGAAGATACTTTAAAAGTATGTAAATAGCTTGTTATTCATAAAACTTTCACCCACTAGCTTTAACATCCATTGCCCATTCTGACAAGAATCGACTATTGTTATGATGGTTGCTAATTCCTAACACAATTACTAATTGGCTTTCTACCCTATGGAAGAGCCCTTCTTTTTTTTTTTTTTTTCTTATTTATTTATAACACTGTGGACTCATGGGTTTTTATTTTATTCAATGGATTATATAATTCTTATTATCATTATCTATTTTCATGTTCCAAGTGTGCAGATTTGTCCAGGGGAAGCCTTTTCCAGCTGGTACCTCTGTCCTTTTGATATGTCTCTACCTTTATTTGAGTACTTCCTGGCTCTTCTGCATGTAATAAGGTACTCCAGGGTTATCTTTTACTTTCCCTGCTGTTGGTCTGGAATCAACCGTTTTCCCAAGGCATCTTATTTCCTCTTAATTCCTTTTAGTAAAGAATGGTATTTAGGTACCAGAATCTGTGTGCTGGGGATGCTCATTGCTATAGGGGTACATAGCAGCTCAGCCCTCTCATTGGACAGAGCAAGGGAGCAGATGTCCATGGTGTATGCACACAGCTATGTCAGTGAGTGCCTGTGTGTGCACGATTATATACACCCACACCCAACTATATTGTATTTCTCTGTGCATATTAAAAACCATGAATTCATACTGTCTCCAAGTTCTAATCGAGTACCCCTGCTTGGTGAGTGAGTGTGGGAATGCTTGGCATGGATGATACAATGATGAAGATGCGCTCATCTTCCTCTGTACTCATGGTCTAGTGGGGAGACCATCATGAGGGCAGACATTAGGTTTTGGTGCCTGGTGCAGAGTGTGACATGGAGTCCAGGTGAACATGGAAGCTGGGACGGGCAGAAGGCACTGCAGACATGGGCCTCAGGTGACTTGTTCCAGATCTTGTCTCTATCACTTTGATAAGTCACTTTCTCTCCTTGAGTTCAGTTTTCTCATCTTAAAAATGAAGGTTTGAACTAGATCAGGTAATACCTGGTATAAGTGCCTCTGCTCCCTCACCTGAGGCCATGGTAGAAATTTGTCATTATCAAGGCCTCCTTTGAGTCTCAAATAGGTCCTACACATCTTCTCCATATGACATTGCAGTCTTGGGATGAGGTGTGATCAGACTAGGGGCTCAGTCTGTCAGGTAGCCTGGTCTCATGTGAAGTCATGGTCTTCACCCTAAGGTCTGAGTTGGTTTGGCTTCCAAAGCACCCCTAAGGGCACATTCATGCAGTTGATGACATTTTAGTGGGGCTCATAGGTGGTGGTCAGTGGAGGGAAGGGCTAGTCCAGATGGCATTAGTCGTTTGAAGGCTTTTGCATGGGCTGATTCCTGGTGTCTGTCTGAACCTTGGGTTGAGCAGGAGCCTGGGCAGCTCAGCATCCACTTGGAATGACATGGGCAGGACCAGAGCATCTTGTGGTTGCCTCACAACCATGCTTCCTGGGGCAGCTGCTGAGCTCAGTGAGCAGTGCAACCTGGGGCCTGTTGCCTCCCTGGAGCCACAGGGGCTGGTGTTGGCAGCAGGGCCCAGGATGGAGTCGCCTCAGGGCAGTGCCTGGCTGTGGGTCACTCCCAGCAGGCCTCCTGGGCAGTGCAGGTGAGTGAGCAGGTGAGTGCAGGGGATGATGGGGATAGCAACTCATAGCCAGGAGGACTCAGGACAGTGAATGGATGGCACCTAGTGGATTCTTATCTTCTGCCCCAGCACTGCTTCCTTCAGGAAGCCTTCTGGATTCTCATCCTCTCCTGCCTTCTTATCCTGGGACGTTCTCCCACGCGGGAGGTCACTGGAGGAATTCCAGGGCGGGCAGCCATCCATCAGTAGACAGGGGCATGTGGTTGGGCAGCACCCCCACCCCAGGGAGTCAGCTGCCCAGCCTGTGTTAAGGCCCATTTTTCTGAGCCCCCTCTGCTTGTTTTCATTCAATGGGGAAGAAAGCGGGTGGGAGAGGCCCAAGAATTCCAGAGAACTGGAATCCATAGCCTCTTCCCATGGGCCCTCAGAACCTCAGCCCCACTGGCTGCCCTTCCCATGTTTCCCAGCCTGGGGAACGCACAGAGGAGGGTTCACTGTGCATCTAGTGTGTGTGTGGGGGCTGTATGGTGGGTGGGCAGCAGCCCATGACACCTACTTGGGCCCCAGGATGGAGGGCGGTGGCCAGTGTCATCTCTTTTGGAGAGCTGGATTCCCCAGGGCTGTCGTTGTGCAGAGCTTGATGAAGGCCAAGGGGAAGAGGGTGTGAGTGTGACAGCCCTGGGGTTGGTGCTGGGCAAGGAGGGGAGAGGACATCGAGGCCTGAAGGCAGATGACCCAGAGCTCCTTGTGCTGCAGTTGGGGACTGGAGGGGTGAGGGCATGAGATAGGAGGCTGTAGCAGAGTGTGGAACTCCTGGGGGTGAGACTAGAGGGTAGTCTGCAGTGACCAAGGGTGTGACAGAGGGGCTGAGTGGGGGCTCGAGGACTCCAGCTGAGGTGTCTCCATGTTGGTGGGACCATCGCCTGCCACCTGCCCAAGACCTGGCGTGAGTCGGATGCTGGCTGCTATGGGGTTTGGCTGGTGCTCTTCCAGCCCTGCCCATCTCCAGTCCCCAAGGCCCTCCTTGGGAAGGAGAAAGATTCTAGCTTGGCCAGAAAGGAAGTCGGAAGCATTAAGTGGCCCTGCTGTGAACACTTTCTTTTGGGAGGCCATGGATCTGGGTGCTTCCTCCTCCTCACCAGGCCCCACTGTTTCCCCTGGGCACTGTGGTAGGTGGGGCTAACCCTGACAGATACCAGGGGATAGGGAGCTGCAAGCCCTAAAGCAGCCACATGGGGATATGACAGCAAGGTCTCACAGTGGCAGCTGAGGACTGGTCTCTGTGGGCCTAGCATGGTGGCTGCAGGCTGCTGCGGGACCAGGAGCCCTTCTAGACTTCTAGGCATTAGGGTGGGGCACTGCAGTGCTGAGGGACCTGGAGTTTGGGAGCTGTCAGTGCCTGGCTCCTGCCTGATGGCTCACGTGTGTCATCTTGTTGGTCCTCACGCCACCCTCTGAGAGTGCCCTTCTTATTCTTATTTTGCAGACGAGGACACAGAGGTTCAAGGACCACAGGACTTGCTGAGACAGCTGGCTCGAGATAGAGCCAGCTAGAGACTGAGCTGGGGCCTTGGGACCAGATCTTCTGCTTCTGGGCTGTGTTGTGCTTTGCTGTGAGTGTCCCCTCCAGAGCTCATGTTGAAATGGAATCGCCACTGTGGTAGTATGAAGAGGTGGGACCTGCAGGAGGTGATTAGGTCACGAGGGCCTTGCCCTCAGGGGTGGGTTAAAGCCGTATCTCAGAAGTGGGCCGGGTGTCATGAGAGTGGGCTCCTGAGGAAAGGATGAGTTCAGTGCATCTCTGTCTCTTGTACTCATGTGCCTTCCTCTTTCCATGGTGGGATGATGCAGCAAGAAGGCCCTCGTCAGGTGTAGCCCCTCGAGGTCTGGACTTCCCAGCCTTCAGAACTACGAGCCAAATAAATCTCTTTTCTTTATAAATGACCCAGTCCGTGGTCATTTATAGCAGCAGAAAATGGACTAAGACAGACTGTGTCCTCTGCCATAGACTGAACCCTTTTAGGGACCATCCAGAGAAGTCTCAAGAGGCTGGCAGTGTCTAGGGTGGTGAGGGATGCCTGCTGTTGTCAACACGGGTCCTTCGAGGCCAAGCACGGAGTGGGGGATGGGGAGGGACAGAGAGCAGCCCTCATAGCAGATCCAGCAGCAATCCCAGGGCCGCAGCCCACCCCAGGCCTCTTGCAGTCTGAGAGTGAGATGCCAGACAAGGTGCTCACTTTCTTGAGACCACTGCCCACCTGTGTGGTTGCCTACTTTCTATCTGGGGGGAAGCTGTGAGGTCACAGGGGGGTGAAAGGTGAGAGTGGGCAGGTGGGCCGCAGCCTGGCCGCCCGATGGAGGCTCCTGGGTGGGAGCCGCCCTGCACAGCGAGTCCTCCTGGCTGCACTCGGGGATCCTTGTGTGAGACGAGGCTGAGGGTTCCCGGTGGTCTGCAGTGAGTCTCACACTGCCTGGGCCATTGGTCTAGGCCTCTCCTCCCTGTTCCCCCTGGACCCTCTTAGTTGGAGGTTCCTTCTCTCTTTCCAGTGGTGTCTTTGGAGCCCTGTGTCGAGCTCAGGGTGTGTGTGTGTGAATGCAGCGTCCTGGCCAGGCTGCAGGATAGGCTGAACCTGTGCTTCATGGGAGGGAGTTAAATTTTGCCCCAGGTCACCATTTGTTCCCTGAAGAACAGGAGGGCTGTGGTCCAGGGATGAACACAGATATGAGCCAGCCCAGTGGGGGCCAGAGCCTCCCTCAGGGACTTGATGTCCCCACATGGGTTTCCACGTGGAAGGCCACAGGTCATGTCTACTGAGGGCCTGGCCCTAGTCGGTGTATGGATTCTGGGCTGTTTTGTTTCAATTCTCAGGAGTCTTATGGCTGTGCCCTCCCTGACCTGGCACGGCCAATCAGTGGCCACCTATTATCTCCTCCCGTTTGTGACAAGCATTGGGCCACTCCCTGGCTGGAGCTTGAGGTCCTGAAGTCAGGCCAGGCCTGTCCTCTTCCGCTCTGTGTCCTATCACATTGCCCAGGTCAGAGGGCCATGGAATGAGTGCTGGAAGGTGAACTAACTCCTCCTCAATGATTGCAGGTGGTAGGGACTGCTACCCATTTTACAGATGAGAAAACTTGGGCCTGGAGATGGGCTGGGACCTGTGTGGGGGCCTGTCCTTGAGAAGGACCTGGACCTGCCTTCTTGCCTTGTCCCCTCAGCTCAGTAAGAGAGGCAGGCCACTCAGGGGAGCCCCAGGCCAGGTTACATCCTTCCTTGTCTGCGGTGAGGAGGGCAGCCCTGGCTTGGGTGTTCCTTGCTGGAGTGGGGTCTGGCCTCTGCCTCTAAGAGCCCAGGCCTACGGACAGAGGAAAGCACAGCCAGAGTCCTGGCCCTATTCAGAAGCCTGACTGAGGGGCCCAAGCCCCATGCACTGGCCCTAGAGCCTAGGAGGTTGGGGCCCTAGCCTAGAGCTGTGACTGGGAGCTCAGCAGGCAGTGCAGTGGTGGCCTGCTGGCTGCCCTCTCCCTCCTCCTGGGCCTGGGTGCTTTGTCCTGGGGGCAAGCTGAGTTGCTGGGGTAGTGGCAGGCCTGAGGTGGGCGTTCCCTGGCACCCCCATTTCCTCTGGCATCCTGCAAACAGGATCCGGGCAGTACAAGGACAGATGGCTCCCTTTAGGCTGGCAGGGGGTGGGGGGGCATCTGGAAAGAGCTGGCGCCAGCCTTGGGGGCATGAGGCTGGAGGGGTTGGTGACTGGCTTGGAGGGCGGGCACGGAAGCCGCTTGGTAGGAAGCCTTCTTGGGAGTGAGCGGGGCATTGTCTCTGGCCTCTGTCTGGCCTCATTGAGGCAATCCTGGGGCTCAGGCCATTCTTGGGCACAACAGCCCAGCAGCTTCCGCCCACCCTCTGTCCTGTCCCTGCTGCCAGTTTCCGCTAGCCTGGGCTGCGAATGCTTCTGCAGCCTTTGCCCAGCCCCACCTCCCATTTGGCTTAGTCATTGCCTGCTCTGCTGTCAGCACACTCTCCTGAGGGGCTCCCAGGTCCCCCTCATGCCTTGTCACCATCCTCTGCCTCATCCCCTCTTGGTCATCCTTCTCGTGGTCCAGCGCCTCCCTCCTCTGAGCTCTGACTCTCACTGGGTGCCTGCCTCCGTGTAGTCCCAGCATCAGCTGCTTTCTTCTGGAAGCCTGCAGTGCTCCACAGGGTCCTCAGCCCCTAGCATGTGAGCCACTGAACAGATCATGGTACTTTGGTGGGAAAGAGAGCAGGGCCAGAGGGCCCTGCAGCCTTCCTGGCTCCTGTGCCACCATGCTTCCCTTGTGGGAGGCTCTCCTGGTCTCTGGTGAAGTCTTGTCTGAGTGTACATGTGTGTGAGGGTCCTGACCTATCTTGGCAGGGCAGCTGTGCTGGTTGGCCGTGGTCTGACCACCCTCTGGCACATTCCAAGCCCTTCACCAGCCAGTCAGCTGACCTTGGGCAAGTTGAGCTTTAGTTTCCTCTTCTTTAAGTAGGATTATAGTTACAATTCCTGCTTCACAGAGTCAGGAGGACTAATGGCACTCACACAGGCAAGGCACCTGGCTCAGGCCAGCTGAGCAGGTGTAGGAGAGGTGTGTGGCCCGACCTGGGCCAGTCACATATCTCTTGGGGCCTCCCCTGGTTCCACTGTCAATAGGACTCCCATGAGTACCGGCTCATAGAGTTGTGGGATGCTCCGGGATGTGAGCTGTGTCACCCTCCGAAAGACCCTGGCGCAGCATCTGGTGAGGGCTGGTCATCATCTTCTTGCCCCCAGTAAGGGGTGGATAGACCCTGTGGAGGTCCTAGGTCTAGGGGCAGGGAACAGAGTGCCTCTAATGGATGCACGTTGCAACCTAGCACACCTCTCTGCCCCATGTGGAGCGATGGACAGTGACTGCTCCCTCCGCCAGTGCTTTCTTGGCCTGTCCAGTTCACTCCCCCTACCCTGTGTCAACTCACTGGGCCCTCCTTTCTCCACAGTGGCTTCTCTCCCTGGGTGATCCCTTTTACAACTGTCCCTACACAGTGGACTCTCAATCTGTATTCAGCCCAGGCCCTGCGTTCACCTCCAGGGCTTGGGATATCGCCGGCCTGTGGCAGAGCCTCAGGGTGCGTCCTTGCACTTGGCCCCTTGCTGTCTGGCATGAAGAGGTCACAGCACCGTCACTGGCCTTCTGGGCCAGAATGTGGGACTTGTTCTTAAATCTTCCTGGCTGCTGGCCAACCTTTCTGGGTTCCGGCAGCAATCTCAAGCTCCACTGTCGGTAGCCTACCCTGGGCCAGGCTCCCGCAGCAGCCTGTTCTCGGCACTGCAACGCAGGGAGCCCTCCAGCCACAGGTCTATGGCAGTCCCGGCTGACCTCTGCCAGCGTATCTCTGTCATTTTTCGGAGGTGACCAAATCTCTTTACGTGGCAGGTAGTGCCTTGTGGTTAGCTCCTCTTGGGCTGCTTCCTGGGGAGCTGCCGGACCATTCTCACCTGGGGCTCCAGCCCCCACCCCAAATTCTCTGAGAGCCTGTGTTGGAGCCCTCGCACAGGATGATCTGGGTGGGTTCCCGGAGAGATGCATGTGTCCCTGTCCCTGAGGCCTTGTCGGTGGTGGGATGATATGTTGGGATCGGGCCATGCCCTGTGTCAGATGTGCTTCCCTGGGGCTGCCTCTTGGGGATTTGAGGAGAGCACCCACCTCTTTCAGAGGGGAACTTTCAGAGTTCCCACCTGACCCATGTCTTCTGAAGGCACTCCCTGCTGTATCCCTCCACTTTGTTTCCACATATCTTTCTACTTGATGTTCTATTGGAATTCTACAAATTAAGCTTTAATACTTTGAAATTATACATGCGTATAGTTAGGAGAGCAAACGAGTTCTACAAGGTTAATTAAGGAAAACAGTAATCTCTAGCTGCCCTCTTCTCTGCCCTCCCCTGAGTCAACTCTTCTAATTCTTATAGGAGATTCTTTTGATATTTATCTCTTCTGTAAATGACATGCTTCTATTGCTACTTGATTTTTTTTACTGACTTATTTATTGACTTGCAAGATGAGCGTTGAAGTCTTTTTCCACACACATGCTTGCTCACTTACAGGCACACACAGGCACACTACACACATGCACGCACATATAACACATACACAACATACACATGCACACGTATCCAGGCCCACATGCTCACACAATGGCATGCACACATATGTACAGACAGGTGTGTGCGCACACTTCCTGCCTCCCCTCCTCCCTATGTAGCAACGTTGTTCTGTCACACTACCAGGTGGATCAGGGCTTCCCTAATCATAACCACACCTGCTACTGAGAACTGAGCCTGCTGGTGGTAAACCAGGATGATGCATCTCCTGCCCAACCTTTCGTTTTCCCTGGAGTTCATAATTGCCTTTGTTTGCCTAGGGTTTCATATACTTCTCAGGACCTTAATCTGAATCTCTTCTCCAGTTCTCCATCTCACTTTCCTGCACATCAATGGTCTGTTGTTTTGTCTTCCTAAGAAGTGTCTCTAGGATCTTCTGCTGGGGCCTGGTCACCAGGTTGCCCTCCTTGCCCAGGTCTCCTTCACCGTTCTTCCTCATGCAGTCCCTGGTTTTGATGGCATATGTCCTTGAGCACTTCCTGTGAAAGGGTGCGTGGAGGGATGTTTGCAGACCCTGGTTGTTGGAAACATCCTCCTGTAGTCTTCCCCCTGGTGCTCCTTCCAGCACTGGGGCCATTGGGACCTCCCAGGTCACTGTGGGCTCGTTTGCTTGGGGACACTCTCCTTGCCCAGGTATCCTGATGTCTCACAGGGCTTAAGGCAGCCTATATAGTTCTGGACAGTCATCTTGAGTCCTGTTTGTGATGATTCCCTTCCCTTTGCTTTTTCCGCCTCTCCCTGGAATTCCTGTACTCGGCTGTAGAAACTCCTGGGCAGACCCCGTTGTCTCCCTTTTGGTTTTTGTGTTGTTTTGTTCTACTTTCTGGGAGATGTCATCTTCTGGGAGATGTCCTTCCCCTTTCCGTGGAGTTCTTCACTTCTGCTGGCAGGTTTTCATTTCTCGGCACTCTTCTGTGTTCTCTGGAAGTTCCTTCTTTTCAGTGTCCTGTTCCCATCTCTGCACTCTCGTGATGGCAGTGCGTGAGGGTGTTAAAGGGCCTTCGCTGTCTGGGCTCATCTCTCAGAGGGCAGTAGGAACATGTGCACTGGACCTGAAACCTTTCTCTGCCAGCCACCAGCTGTGTGGCCCTGGGCAGGTTACTTCATCTCTCTGTGCCTCAGTTTCCTCATCTGCTGGGTGCAGACAGTAGTGGCTCTGTGTTTACAGGCTTGTTGTGAGGATGAGCCCGTGAAAAGAGTGAAGCATTCAGTGAGTGTTTTATAAATACATGCTGAGTGTTTTATAAATGTTAGCTTGTGCCCTGTTACGTTTTAAAGTTTCTTCTCTGGATAGGTTCTGTTCCCTCCACCTTCCCCTGGTGGCTTGGGCTGTCTTCCGTGTCGGAGGTTTTCCCCTGTGGGGCCCTGGCATGTGGGGTGCCCTCCACTCGCAGGGCTGAGACCCGCCTCCCACATCTCCCGACCCTCACCCAGGGCTCCCTGATTGCCACCTGCCCTTCAGGGCCCGCTGTTCTCCAGGCGAGCAGACTCCCCAAGCCGCCTGTGCCGGGGAAGTGTGGAGAACGTGGAGGGAGGCATAGTGGTGACTGTGGGCAGGCTGGGATGTGAGGCCTGAGAAACCCATGGAGATTGTAGTCTGATGGCCCCTGGGGGTCCCTGAGTTCCTTTCATGGGTCCCCAAAGTCCTCCCTCTGCCAACTGCATCCCTGTGTGGGGCCACATTTCTTCCTCTGCCCCAACCAGAACGACGCGGTGCAGTGGCTTATGCCAGAGCAGGCGGAGTCCGTCTCTGCTTAGCCCGCCCAGAGACCAACACAAGTGCAGGACGGGACCACTGCTCTCTGGGCGGTTTTGTTTTGGAAAATATAGTTACTTTTATAAAAATATGTTATTTGAAGTAATGTGTTTATTATTTCAAATGCCTTCATAAATATATTTTTTAAGTCTCTGCTTTAATTTCTAATAGAGTAACTATTGGTGAATAGAACCTATGTCAGCCAACCTCCTGGGATCCTCGATACTTTTCAGCAGTGTCATGGGCCCCGAGACCCAAGTGCTTGGGGCCCACCAGACTAGGTGGTGTCCTGGTGCCACCTACTGTGGATGGGGCCCTGTGGCATGGGGCTGGGCCTCTTGCTCAGAGGGGATAGGGCCGTGCCGCCTCCGCCACCCTGATTCTGCAGATCCGGGCCTGCCTCTCACCCTTTGTGAAGCTTACTTTGTGCTTCACCTGCCTCTGGCTTCAGGAGTTTGTGTGGCTGCGCTGAGCAGCTGCTGTGAAGTGTTCAGAACCCGGCTGGCCCAGACAGTGGGCTCTGTAGTGATGTCGTGAGGATGCAGGCAGATCAGACAGACGTCCTCACGGGGACTTGCACACACAGGGGTGACACCACAGAGGCAGGAAGCCTGTGGACGGCAGCTCTGGCTGTGTCCAGGCTGGAGAGTTACCTCTTGTGTGCTCTGGGTCCTGGAGCTCGGCTCATGGGAGGAGGGGTTTAGTGGAATGCTGAGCTGCCCGGGCCAGGGATAGCTGGTGTCGTGTTGGGGATCGTGCCAACACAGTGAAGTATGTACTTGCTGTTTGTAACCCTTAATGTGCTTCCATTTATTTCTCACAACAACCCTAAGAGGTAGGTCCTTTTATTCCCTTCACTTCACGAGTGAGGAAACTGAAGCCCAGAGAGGTCCAGTAGCTTGTACCCAGCTACATAGCTAGCAAGGCCAGGGCGGATTCACCTCCAGGCAACCTGATCCCAGCTCTGCCACCCCATCATGTGCGTCTCAGGAAGATGGAGCTAGATGTAGACCAGGTGGCAGGAGCTCTGTGGTTTTCAGCCCTGGTGCGGGCCGTGGCTCACACCGTACAGTGACACATGCCTGCATGTTGGGGGAGCAGCAGGAACCAGAAGCCAGGCAGGGATGGGCTTGTGGGGGGGTTGGAGAGCAAGGGGAGCCTGGGCTCCAAATGGGACATCCATGGTCTTTGAGAGCCAGCAAGAGGGCTGGCCTAGCTGGGGTCCCATAGGGAGGGGCGGGGTCTGCCCTCAGCAGGGCTGTGTTGTATTCCAACACTGGGGCCAGTGGAATAAGAGGCCACCAGAAGGGCTTGGGCGGGGGTTGCTGCCCTGGGGGTGGTGAGGAGCGTGGGGTGGCCTTGGGAACAGGCACAGCAGAGCCAGGCTCAGGGGTCGGGGCAGGCATTAGGCCCCTGTGAATCTGAGCTTTAACCCTCCCCTCTTCACCTCCCTCCCCCCTCCCTTTTTGTGGTTCCTCCAGCTCAGCAAGGAGGCTGCCGGCCCTGCCCTCTGTAAGAAGATGTCTTATGGATCCATCACTGGCGGAGGTGGCCTGGGGAGCCGCGGCCCTTTCGGGGCACCCTCAAGACAAGGCTATCAGCCCCTAGGTAATGACAGCAGCTGGCAGCGGGGGTGGTGGGATAGCAGTGGGAAGAGTCTTCAGGCTTAGTCACGCTGGCGGCTGAGTAGAGGGGTTCTGGTCTTCCAAGAGAGAAACCTTTCCTGTGACCCGAGACCGTGGGTGAGTGTTGAGCTCCAGCCTGGGGCAATTTGGGTGTCAGGAGAGGAAGGATGTGGAGTGGCTGCCCTTTTTGGGGGGGGCAGACCTGGGTGTCCAAGGTCCTGCCCTGAGGATGGAGCTGGCACGTAGAGTACCAGCTGATGGGTGGTGGTGCTCTGGGTGTTTGGAGAGCGGCTGAGTGCACGAGCAATCTTCTCTAGTCTTCCTAATGGCAGTGTGGAGCCGGCGGCTCCACGCAGCTGGCAGAGGGGGACACTGGGGCCTGTGGGGTGACAGATGCCGCCCCCCTGCCATGCAGAGGGAACTGATCAGAGCTGGGACCTACTTCTGTGTTTCCCCGAAAATAAGACAGGGTCTTATATTTATTTTCCCTCAAGAAGACACCCTAGGGCTTATTTTTAGGGAGTGTGTTTCAGGGGGTGTGTTTTTAAGTACGGTACAACAATCTACATTTATTCAAATATAGTTAAGTTGTCTTCTGGAACATCTTCATAACTCTCCAAACTGCGAATTCCATCCTGAGTTTCTTGCGACTCTATTTCATTTAGAGCCATTGGCCCCAGTCTCTCATGTCAAACAATAGAGCTCTCATTAAATGAGCAGCTCTTATCCATGTAACCTGCTCAGAGTACAGGGTCCAATCTGCATAGTGGAGCAGAAATGATCTCTGTGCTCAGTAGGAGACTGCTTGCTGAAGCTTTTCCCCTATCCCCTAGTGTTTGTGGTGGGTGAGAGAGGCCCACAGTGCTGAGTAAAATGACAGCCACAGCTTTCCTTCTTACTCCTGGGGACACACAATACCTAAAGCGGAGCGGCCCAATCCTCACTTCACTGAGGAGACTTTACCCTGAAAGTCTCAGCTTGCAGCACGCACAGGATGGCTTGGACCTGACAGCGGGAGCCCACCTTGTTGGTGGGGCTGCTCACCTTTCCGGTCACCTCTGGGATAGCAGTTGTCATAAAAGGTGCAGCTGAGAAGGGCTGCTCATCTTCTTTACCTCTCCAAGAGGAAATGCATGGGTTGTGCAGATATGCTGTGTAGCCACGCCCATCACTAGGTCTTATTTTTGGGGTAGGGCTTATATTGCACAAATGCTTAGAAATCCTGCTAGGGCTTATTTTATGGGTAGGTCTTATTTTCAGGGAAACACGGTAGGTATTTCTGAGTTCCAAGCCTCTGCTCTTTCCACTCTACCGAGCTTCACTTTCCACCTCCCACTGTAGGCCATTGGGATCCCGTGGTGGCCCCTGGCCTCCCCGCTGCCCTCAGCTCTGGCTGTGGATCTGGCCTGGAAGGTGCCCTCCAGGTGGCAGGCCCAGTAATGGACGTCTTGACGGCAGGTTCTCTCATCTGGCATCCAGCGTCAGGTTGGGGCAGCCTTCAGGAGTTGGGAAGGGGATCGAATTTGGGGCCTCAAGCTCTTGGTTTACTTCTGTCTGTTCAGCCTGGCAGCTGCCTTAGGACAGGAACTCTCTGCCGTCCTGGGGCTGTGCTCCCGTGGAGCCTCAGGGCCCTTCTCAGGGTGTGGAGGTGCGCATGTGGGCATGTGTACCTGGAGTTCAAGTACAGTGGTTTAGAGATGGATGACCCTGACACCTACCCCCACCCTTTCTCCATCCCATATCCTTCCCCCCTTGCCCTGAATTGCACATTTATTGGTTTTGCTTTTTCTTCATAGTTTTATTTTGTGTGCTTGTATCCCTAAACAGCGTGTTGCTGAGTTTTGTAAGATTTTGAACTTCGTTTACTGGGATCATGTGATTTGTATGTACCCACCATTTGCTTTATACGTTGTGTTCTGAGAGCCCCCATGCTGTGCGTAGGTGCCGTTCTTTCATTTTTCCTGCTGCACTGTATTGGGTTCTGCGTGTGCACCATGGTGTTTATGCCTGTTCCACGCCTGAGGGGCACTGAGGTTGTCTCCCGTGTCCTGGGCTGGGCACCCGTGTCGTGCTGATGCCCGCTCCCTCATGGAGCTCCCTTCATGCCACGTCCTTGTCAGCACCAAGGTGTCAGATGGTGACTTTTTGCCAACCTGGTGAGTGTGCATTGGTCTCCTCTAGTTTCAGCTGATTCTCTCTGGAAACTAATGGGATCGATCACCTTTTCATATGTTTATTGGCTATTTGGGTCTTCCCTTCGCTTGACTCCTTTTGTTTATTTTCTCTTGGGTTTGTCTTGCACTAATTGATTTGCAAGATTTCCTTCTACGTCTGGAGAGGACACCCTCGTCAGACGTGCTGCACGCATCCTAGTCTGGTTTGGGCGTGCTTTTCAGTGTGGCATCTGCTCACGACTAGGGCCCACCAAGGACACACTTGAATTTATCAGTCGTTTCTCACAGTGTTTGCATTTTTCTGTTTAGTTTAATAACTTCTATCACAAGATGATAATGATATTATCCTATATTTTCCTCTATAGGTTATGTAATTTGTTTTTCTTATTTAAATTTTTAATCCAGCTGGAATTGGTTTTTGTTTATGGTGTAAGGTAGAGTGAGGGTGGAAGGGAAGCTCTAATAGTGGTGTTTCTGTATTTGCATAACAAATTGTCTGGGCTATTTATTCTGTTTTATTTTTCTGTAGTCCTGCAGTGACAGCTGTGTGATAGTTAAAGTTTCCATATGGGTTCTTTTGCTCAATTTTTCTATTCCTATGTCAAAATCCACCTTAATTCTATAGCTTTATTGTAATTCTCATTACTTTTGGGGCAAGTTACACTTCTTATTTTTCTATAGGAATTTCTTGAGTATTTTTGACTCTTTGACATTGAACATAAATTTTAGAATCACCTTGTCAAACCTTTGTGGTTTTGACTGGAATTTCATTGCATCCACGGGAAGAATGTGGGGAGAACAGATACCATCATTCTGAGTCTTCTAGTACATTGTAAGTGGTGCCATTCTGAATGTTACATTTTCCAGACATTTGTTGCTAGTGTGTACAACCAAGGTGTTTTTTTTTTCCTTTTCTTTTTGAGACAGGGTCTTGCTCTGTCCCCAGGCTGGAGTGCAGTGGATGTGATCATAGCTCACTGCAGCCTTGAACTCCTGGGCTCAAGCAGTCCTCCTGTCTCAGCCTCCCAGAGTGCTGCAATTATAGGCATGAGACAGTGGGCTTTTTAAAAAACCAAAGTCGAGAGATTTTATATAATTTTTAAATGTTTTTGTCATTAATGTTCTAAATATGGAAAATTTCAAGCACTAGAAGTAGACACACTCATGCAGGGAACCCCAGTGCATCCCTCAGCTTCCTCTGCCACTGCTGGTGGCCAGTCTGGCCACAGTTGTGCCCTCCCTGCACCCTGCTGTGTCATTTTGAAGTAAATCCCAGACATCAGATCATCTCCTCTGTTACTATTTCAGCATGTCTCTAAAAGAGGACTCCTTTCATACATGGCAGTGTCCCATTGTAATGCCTCATTTCAGCCACGGTACTGTGTCTGCCGTTCGGGTAGCTGGTGGCTTCGGGGAGGCACCGTGTTTTCACAGTGCGTGTTTGAAGCAGGAGCCTAGAAAGAGCCATGTACTCTGGTGGGTCCACGTGCCTGAGTTTTCACCTCCACGTTCCCCTCCATCATTTTTTATCCTTGAAGTTTACCCTTGAACAAAGCAGGCTTTCCTGTGTAGTGCAATTGATTTTTGTCTACTGACTCCTTATCCAGCCAGTTTGCCAAACTTCTTTTATTAATTGTAATAATTTGCCCGTGGAATCTTTGGAGCTTTCTATATCATTGGTGCCATTTGTGAATAATAGTTTTTCTCTCTTCTTTTCCAATGCTTTCACCTTTTACTTGTTTTTCTCCCTCTGTGAGCTGGCTGGAACCTCACTACAATGTCGAGTGGAAATGGTGACTGTGTTCTTTATGAGTCTGTGGAAAAATGGGACTGTGTATTGTTGAATGTTTCTGGGAATTTGCTACGAGAAATTGTCTGGATCTAGCGTCCTTTCTTTGTTGAAAGTTTTTGAACCACCAATTAACTTCTCTAGTTGTGAAAACTTGTTTAAGTTTTCTGTTTTCTTGTGGGTCAGCTTTAAGTTACATTTTTCTGGAAATGTGTCTGCTTTATCAAGACGTTCGATTTATTGCGTAAAATCGTGGCCTTTCCAGGCCAAGTGTAACCGGGGCAGCATCGTGCAGTGAGTGGTTACAGTGGCTGGGAGCACAGACTCGTAGAGCAGCGGGCTGGCCCTTCCGCCGGGACGCGGAGCCGAGGGCTGGCCTGGGCACTGCGCAGCTAGCTGCAGGGGGAGTGAGGCTGGGCGTGGAGCACCCAGGGGCTTGCCATTCTCACGCCCAGGCCATGCAAGGGCTCAAGGTTGCGCTATTTCATTAATTTTAGCAATATGTGAATCACATCCCCTTTTTTATTCCTAATGCTGTATATTTATACCTTCTATTTTCTTCTGTAATCAATATTGACAGAGACTTGGCAGTTTTACAAGTCTCCACAAAGATGTGACTTCTGGCTTTCTTGATCCTTTCTGTTAGATGTCAGTTTTAAAATTTGATTGATTTCTGCTCGTGTTTTTGTTATTTTCCTCATTTTTTCTTTGAGTTGATACTATTTTATTCATCCAACTCCCAGAATGGATGTTTATAAACCTCATTCATGTTCAATATTCAGTTTTTATTCTTTTCTAATAAAAGCACTTACAATTATGAATTTCCAAAGAATCACTGCTTTAGTTGACTATCACACATTTTAAAATATATAGTATTTTTATTTTTGTTCAGTTCTAAATATCTTCTAATTTCCATTATGGTTTCTTCTTTGATCCAGGAGTTTTTTAGAAGTGCATTTCATCATTTCCAAACATTTGTATTTTTTGGTAGTTTTTTTAAAAAAAATGATTTCTAACCTAATTGCATTTCTGTTGGAAAAGGATCAGTACTGTCCTGATTTGTTGAAAATTGTGGAGACTGGGGCCTGGCGTTTGTTTATGCTCCTCTCTGCCCTGGATGACTGGGAAGTCTTCCGTGTGGGTGGCCTTTGAGGCCCATAGGATCTGGGAAAGGACAGGGTCTGGACAAGATGCCCATGGGCAGAGGAATCACTGCAGTTACCCAGCCCCTGCTGTGTGCCAAAGTCCTTGCTACCCCATTTATGGCAGTGCCTCAGGGCCATCTGTTTTTCCTAATGTCCCATAGACCAAGGCAGCAAGAAAACAACTGGAAGATTGTTCACACAAAGAACTCAAATGAGACCTGGCATGGTGGCTTACACCTGTAATCCTAGCACTCTGGGAGGCCGAGGAGGAGGAGGATCACTTGAGCTCAAGAGTTCAAGACTAGCCTGGGCAACATAGTGAGACCCCGTCTCTACAAAAAATAGAAAAATTAGCTGGGCATGGTAGTGTGCGCCCATAGTCCCAGCTATGCAGGAGGGTGAGGCGGGAGGATTGCTTGACCCAGGAGTTTGAGGTTGCAGTGAGCTATGATGACACCACTGCACTCTACCCAGGGTGACAGAGTGAGATTCTGTATCAAAAGAAAAAAAGAATACCTCAAATGAATAGAAGGGACCGCCCCCCAATTCGTATAAAAATGGACAGGGTCTACAGACAGGATGGCTGGTCAGTGTGTGAGGAGTGGTCAGCCTCACTGGTGACTTCAGAGATGGAAACTGAGGTAGCCATACATGCCAGTGCCAGCCTCTGGCAGAAGTGAGCACTGTAAGGAGAGGCAGGGTGCTGCTGTCTCTCCCGGGATCTGAGCACAGCCAGCTTCAGGGCACCTTGGAAGGGTCCTTCTCTTGGCCCAGCCATGCCTCTTTTTGGGCTCTGTTGTAGGAGGTGATCAGCAATGTGAGCAGAGGTGTTCACCACAGCATGACAGTTGAGAAATATTGGAAATGTCTAGCTTTGGGGAAACAATTGAGAAAGTGAGGGTTTGTGATGGAACATGATGCAGTTGTTGAAAGCACATTGTTGGAGATCCTTGAGTAAGCTCTGTGCAAGTTATGGTTAATGGTAATGCAAATGCAAGAAGCAGAACCATACACTCAGTATTTTAGTTGTATGAAACAACTGCCCACCCGCTGTGTTAATAATTTTTAATATTTATTTCTAGATGTTGTGATCTTTCTTTTTAAATTTATAATTGCATTTAATTTTTTTTACTGTAATTTATGTGCATTATTCTAATAAAAAAGAAACAATACCCCAGGCCTGCCTGCCCTCCCCTCCCCTCCCCTCCTCTTGCCTCCCCTCCAAAGTTCTGGGTTCCTTTGATTCGAGTGGGCAGAGTGTACTGGCCCCTCCAGGGTGTCTGGGGACAGCATGGAGTAGTGTGGCGCTGGCGGAACCTGGACTTGCAGTGAATGGATGCCGGTGTGGGGAAGTGATGGGCGTCCTTGTGCATCAGCTGCCAGTGGGCCTGCAGTCTCTCTGGGGCCTGGGCAGGGGACCCACACTGAAGCAGGTAGGCACCTAGTCACCGCGTACCTGGATTCCCTCCTTGTACACTGTCGTCTAGGGCAGTGACTGCTGGGGTGGGGGTGTTGGGTCTAGAGAGTATGTCTCTGTCAGGAGAGAATGGCGTCTGGAAGCTGGAGGGACAGGCCTTGGTCTGGAAGCTCACGGTCACTCAGATACTCAGAGAAGCCTGTGACTTGGTGGCTTCAGCCTGGGTCTCAGCCTGGGCCTCCCTGCTGGGTGCAGGGATTGCAGTCTGCTCTTGTTCTGACTCTGAGATCCACTGTGCTGCAGTTGTCTGTCCTCTAGGAAGCTGTACCCCCAAATAAGCTAGAGTGCTCCTGCCCGTTTCCTTGTGCGCCCTCTACCCTTCCTCCCCCCAGGGCCAGAGCTGGGGGATGAGCAGGCCCCATTCCAGGACAATGAGCCGAGGGCACTGGAGGCCCTCCCCAAGTCTGTGTCACCAGGAGGGCCTGCCTCTGCCTGTGTAGTTTGGGGCCTTTGGAACTCTCCCACCTCTTGGGGGACCCAGTGAGCCTTTGGGCAGTCCTTCCTTGACTGTCACACTGGCTGCCATAGCCCCCCCAGAGGATGCCGAGCTTTCTTCTCCAAGGGTTATGTGAAGGGCCTTTTCCAGGAGCTGCTGCTTCCAGGTGCTCAATGTGGAGACAGGACCCACGACGCCTGTGCCGATCTGGGGACTTGCTAGAGGCTGTCGGCGTGGTCAGCAAGAGCATGTAAGCCAGCTGCGTTGTGACCTGCTGGGTGGTCAAGAGTGCCTCAGTCTCCTCAGGGAGCACTGGGGGAGCAGGTTGCAGACTGGCGCCAGGGGTCTCCTTTCTGTGCCCTCAGCCTGGTGTACACGGCGTGTCATTGGCTCTGGGAGGCCATGGATTGAAAGGCACGTCTTTATTCCAGAGATGTTAAAATATTTTTATAAGGTGCGTCTGAGGATAGACAAACTTTAGTAAAATGTGTCCAGAAATGGTGGTGTTTGAATAAATGGGAATTATTAGAGAAAATCGTGTCCTTTGTGGGGTTCGAACTCCAGAGTGGTGGAGGGTGCGACAGGACACCTCCGTGCTTGTGCCTCAGCCACACTGCAGGTGTGAAGGGGAAGAGCGTTGTTTTGCTTTTCACTTCCCACATATATGGAACAATATTTTTATAAAATACAATAGAATGCCCCCGAGCTGGGATGTTGTGGCAATCTTGAAATGCCATGAATCATAATGAAGCCTGACTCTCCATGTTGGGACCTCATTGCTGCAGAAGGTAATACCCACCCAAGTTTCATCTGTGACCATGTCTACGGGCCTGATTTAGGGGGCTGTGGCTTAGTTTGGTGTCACTTTTCAGAAGAACCATGGTTCAGAGAAAAATCCAGAACACCTACAGTTCTGAACTCCATGCTGGTGTTCAGAAAAAGGGGGACGATCTGGATGACGTGGCAATCAGAGAGGGCTTCCTGAAGGAGGTGGGCCCCAGTAGAGCTGCTTTGGCTTGGGTGCCTGCCGACTGTGCATGGGTCCTGTCACTGCCAGCAGCGCCCTGAGCTGCTTGCACAGGCAGGCTGGGAATAATCGTGACTGTCCCTTGCTGTCCATAGAGTGCGCTAGATGTTGGACCGAGTATGGAATCCGCCATTTCCCCTGCCCATCGCCAGAGAGCAACTCACAGGACCCCTGTGTGGGGAAGGACGGGGAAGGCGATCTGGGGCCGGCGGGTGCACCCAGAGTCCCGAGGGCCAGGAAGCGAGGTACTTCCGCTCAGACACTGGGTCTGGGGGGTCCCGGGAAGGCCACTCAGGGATGCTGGTGCTCTGGAGGGAGGGGTCCACAGACGGGAGCTGTGGAGGTGCCCAGGCAGTTGCAGGGGAGGAGGCTGGGGCAGGCGCTGAGGCCCATCTCACTCTCACCCCCACTGCCCTGTCCCCCTGAGGAGGACGGATGGCATGGTCAGTCTGGACCAGCCGCAGGAGGGAAGCATGTGATGACCAGGGCCGTTAGGGCCCTGTAGGCTCAAGGACCAGGCCTGCACAGTGGGATGAAGAGGCGCTCATACCCGGGGGTCTGGACCTGCTCATGGGGCCCCTTTGCCCTGAGCCTGAGTCCTTATGGAGTGGACTGGTGAGGGGGTGTGAGGGTCCTTGGGGTGTGATTTAGGGAGGAATAGGTGCAGTGGCCTCTGCAGAGGTGGGCCTAGGTAGGCTTCCCTCCTGGCAGAGAGGCCCCTTCTGGGTGCTTTCAGGAAGACTGGACCTGGAGGGAGAAGCCTACTCTTGAGTGCTTCCTCCTGATGGGGCTCAGACATGCCCGCGGGGAGACTTCTGTTGTTGGGGCCACTGTCCCTGCCTTTGTGAAACCTGAGTCCTCTAACTCTACAGAGCCATACACCCAGCAGCACACCTGGCCCTGTCATCAGGAAGCCAGTCTGGTTCTGGCAAAGCTCATGCATGAGCAAAGACAGAGAGACCTGGGCACTGTTTGCTGGGCTAGCCGCCACGAGCTCTGCGCTGGCACAGAATGGCAGAGGAGTGAAGCTGCAGAGCAGGCTGTCTTGCCACCGCCTGCCCTCAGCTGAGTGCAGGAGGGTATGCTGAGGGAGCACTCATGGGGCTCTTGAGGTCCTGCAGCTGGCAGGCAAGCGAGTGTGAATGGTATCCTGCATGTCAGCTGGTGAGGGCTGCCCCCAGGCGAGGGATGTCCCCAGGAGCAGCCCCAGCCCTGGCCCCAAAGCGCCTTTCCTTGGGGCTTGAGGACAGGAGATGCATGCAGAGGGCCAGGTCAGACTGCCAGGCCTGTCCCAGCTCATTTGCCCTGATAGTGGCTATGGAAGGCAGGTGGGGCCTGTCTTGGAGATGGAGTGCTACGGCCCAGAACTTAGGTGCCTTGCCAATGATACCTTGCAAGGCAGTGGCAGAACTGGGAGGCCTGGACCCAGGTCTCTGGACACCCAGCAGTGCGGGGTGGTGGCTAGGAGTTGGCAGCAGTGTCCTGAAGCAGAAGCCAAAGAGGAGGTGCCCCAGGGAGCTGCTGCTGGAGCCACCACTTCCCCTGGGCCTGGAGCCTTAAACACCCACATTTTGGTGCCTTTCCAGGGCCAGGGGTTGCCCCTGAAGGCAGCCGGACACCAGAGCCCACCTCACCACTCACCACTGGCCCGAGAAAGGACTTGGCTGCCGGGCCCCGTGGCCGCATGACAGGACCCAGTGCCAGCCGGGCCAAGAAGAGGAAGCCCAATTTCTGCCCCCAGGAGACTGAGGTGCTGGTGTCCAAGGTGAGCAAGCACCACCAGCTGCTGTTTGGCACAGGGCTGCTGAAGGCTGAGCCCACCCGCAGGTACCGCGTGTGGAGCCGTATTCTGCAGGCCGTGAACGCTCTGGGCTACTGTCGCCGAGATGTTGTGGATCTGAAGCACAAGTGGCGGGACCTGAGAGCGGTTGTGCGGCGCAAGCTGGGCGACCTCCGCAAGGCTGCCCAGGGCCCTGACCCGGACTCCGGCAAGCCCCAGCCCCTGGCACTCACACCCGTAGAACAGGTGGTGGCCAAGACCTTCTCCTGCCAGGCCCTGCCCTCCGAGGGCTTCTGCCTGGAGCCGCTCAGAGGTGAGTTCCTTGCCGCAGGCTGCCCTGCCAGGGCGCTGCTCTGGCCACCTGGAGGGTGGGCCCACCTCTGCCCTATTGCCCCACTCCCTACTCCACAGGGAGCTCCTCTCCTCCTCCTCAGCCACCTCCTCATCTCTTCCCTGTCATCACCTGGAGCGTCCTTGTTCACTCCCCCTGCGCTCCACTTGCTCACTCGCACAACCGTCCACATATCTGTGCGTCTGGCAAACATTTTTAAAGTATGAAGGGAGCTTCAGAGGCAAATTGGGACTCCTTGTCCTGGGCCTGAGCTGAGCACGTGCACACAGAGGAGCCAGGGCCCTCATCTCATGGTTGCCTGGTCCTGCACGTGCACCATGGCTGTGGTGAGACATCCGTGTGCTGGCGCTGCCCCGCGTGGACACACGCACAGAGATGCAGGCATTCAGCGGTGCTCACCCTCTGACATTCCACACCTGCCAGTCTGTCCTGGCTCTTCTTGTCCCGTCCTGTCCTGTCTATTAAAATAAAAGCTAGTTGTGACTTTCTAAATTGGTTTCATGACCTGGGTCTCAGAGCTGCGGTTTGAAACGTACTGCTCTGTCACTGTTTTTATCACCCAGGAGAGGCCTCCATAGTGGATGGTCCAGCCCTGCAGAGTCAAGGTGGGCAGGTTGAGACCCAGGAGGGGGGGAGGGTTTGCCAGGGCCGTGTTGGGCCCTCTGTGGAGGCCCTCCAGCTCAGGAAGAGTCCTTTTCCTCCAGTAGCGTCAGTCTGTTGGTGTCCATCGGGTCGGGAGGCTGACAGGTCACTGTGGGCCCAGCGTCCAGCAGCTGCAAATGTGGTGGGGCCCCAGACGGGTGCTGGGCAGTAGGTATGGTGCAGATGTGCCGAGGTTATAGTAGCAGAATCTGCCCACTGCCACCAGGGCCTGGAGGTCAGGGAGAAGTCCTGTGGTTCTGTGATGGGGGAGGGCTGGTGGGGGTTCCGTCCTACCTTTCTCTGGGGTTGCTCCCTGCAGACCTATGCATACCCTACATCCTGTCTGCAGCAGGGCTGGCATTGAGTGAGTTGGGCTGGCCACTCTGAGCTCTGAGGCTGTGTTGGGTGCCATGCTATGTGGACCCACAACAGCCTGTTCAGGGACTCTGCTGTCACCCCCACTCAACAGGGAGGAATAGAGGCAGCAAGTATGAAAGTGGCTTCTGCTGAGTGGGGCACTGGGTATCGGGCTGAGCCCATCAAGCTGTAGAAGTGAGAATGCCCCATGCTTCCCCTCCTGGGGGGAGAGGTGCTCAGCCTGTGTCTGGGATTCCACACCAGGCAGGGCTGCACGCTGTTGTCACTGGGCCTCCTCCTGCCTGAAACCGGGTCAGGACATCATCCTTCCATCCAGATCCTGTGGCAGGCAGGGAGCTGCGCGGTCCAGGGTCATGCCTAGCAGGCACAGAGCCTGGTAGCAGTACGCTTGCTGGGCAGCCCGAGCAGCCAGGCAGGCATGGGGATGGGGTGTTGGGTATCTGAGGGGTCTTGGTTGGTGCTGACTGTGGATTGGTTGTGTGGGCGCCTCCCTTGGGCTCCTGCCCTAAGAGTCTCCCCTCCTGCTGCAGCCACAGGTGCCTTTGGGACCTGGTTAACGGAAGAGCTGCTGCTTAGAGCAGATGGTGGTGGTGGTGGTGGGTCCAGACCCTCGTAATTTCCGTAATTGCCAAATATTCATTAAAAGCCTTCACATGTCTTCCTGCAGCGGGAACATAACGTGGTGCCTGCAGTGAGACATGGGGAGGTGCAGGCCCTGGCAGGGGAGGCACTTGCCTTCTTTTGGTGCTGTTGGAATGCCCCATTATTTTGCTCAAAAGAGGAGTGGAGGGCGGGGACGAGATGGGAGAGAAAGCCCTGATGATAAGCACTGCCCATTGTTTATTTTATTTTATTGAGTGCGAATAAAGCCACTTCGGTGATGTGCAGATGGAGTCTGGGAAGTGGACTCAGGGCATGTTGGGGAAAGAACTGACAAGGGGGGCACCCTCCTGCCCTCCTTCAGGCCCAGGCCAGGGCCACGGATTATTCAGCTCTGTCTTGTGAAAGCTGGTGCCTCTGGCCATGTGGCTGCCCCTCCAAGGAAGCTTGTACCCCACAGGCCTAGACCCCAGCGTCTGCTTTGGGTCTCTTGTATTTTCCTGTCTAGGCGTGCACTCCCTAAAGCCAGGCCATGTGTCCTGTTTCTATGACACTTGCATGTATTGCTGGGTTGGCCCAGTAGGGGAATGAAAAGGACAGGGTATCCATGCTGTAGTTGGTGGGTAGTGGTGTAGTGTTAGGTGGCCACCTGCCTTGTGGCTGAGGACCCCAGAAAGAAGGGAGAGTTGCTCTGGAGGTGGTCTCGCAGCCTGCCTGGTGACAGGACAGTGTGCACCTTGGTTCCTTCAGCTGTGAGTTTATACCGTTGTTCAACAGACACTTCTGGAACATGTGGTTCATTGTGCTGGTTTATTGTTCCTGGTCTAGAAACTCAGAGATGGGCTGGCCTGTAGGAGGGGGTGGCCTTCAGAGGGCCAAAGCTGAGTTGGGGAGGCCCACCTAGCTGCACTTGACCTCTGGTCAGAAGAGCGATGGGCAAAGCGAGATCCCAGCCTGGGGAGGTTGTTGCTGGGAAGACCTGGCTGTGCGATCATGGCACACAGGGAGAGAAGGCACCTGGCTGGGAGCAGAGACAGGGGTGAGGCTTCTGCCACGCCTCTCCTTTGGAACCCAGGTGGTGACTTTGTTGGAGTTTAATTGAAATACACTGTGGTGCATCTATTTAAGGGTACAGTTCAATGAGAGTTGGCCAGTACACACTCCCATAACTTCAACCCCAGTGAAGGTGAAGAACTTTTCCATGACCTCAGATGGTTCCCTCTGCCCCTTCCTGGTCAGCCTTGCCTGCCCCAGATCAAGGCCAAGGCCACCACTAATTTGCTTTTTGACACTCTAGATTAGGTCTCTCTTTCCAGAGTTTGACACATGTGGAGCCATGTAGTACGTATACTTTTTTGTGTCTGCCTGCCTTAGCCAGCATGTTTGCTGTGTGTATCAGTGGTTCCTCCCTTTTTGTGGGGTGGTAAGTATCTAGTTGAATTGCTGGTCATATGGTTGGTGTAACTTTTTAAGAAATGCCCAAGCTGTTCTCCAACGTAGTTGCACTATTTTAAGTTCCCCTAAGTAGCAGGAGGGAGCTTTACTTGCTCTGCATCCACGCCAACTCCTGCTCTTGTCAGTGCTTTTAGTGTAGCCATTCTGTGGATGATGCTATGGTATGGATATTTGATCCTCTAAACCTCATGTTGAAATGTGATCCCCAGTGTTGGAGGAGGGGCCTACTGCAAAGTGTGTGTGTCTTAGGGACAGGCCACTTATGAGTCGATTAATGCCCTCCATCTTCCCTAGGGGATGAATGAGTTCTTACTTTGTTAGTTCCCTCCAGAGCTGGCTGTTAAAAATAGCCTGGCACCCCTTGCCCTGCTCTTCTCTCGCCATGTGATCTCTGCATACTCCAGCTTCCCTTTGCCCCCCGTTGTGAGTAGAAACAGCCTGGCCCTCACCAGGTGTCCAGTCTTGAACTTCCAGCCATCAGAATCATAAGACAAATAGACCTTTTTTTCCTTTGTAACTTGCTCAGCAACACAAAGTGCACTAAGACAGGTGGTGTCTAGCGTATGTCATTGATTGTAGTTTTATTTGCATTTCTCTGTTATTCGACATCTTGCTGTGTGCTTATTGGCTATTTGTATATCTATTTTTATGTTGTGTCTATTCAAATTTATTGCCCATTTTATATTATATGGGATTGGCAAGGGCTTTGTCAGATTTCAAAGCTGTCTGTATTGTGAATATTTTCTTTCACATGGTGGTTTATCTTTTAATTATCCTAACTATGTCATTTGAAGGTCAAAAGTTTTACTGTTAGATGTGATCGATTTTTTCTTTTATGGTTTTTGCTTTTTGTATACTGCCTAATAAGCATTTCCCTACTACTAAGTTGCTAAGAATTTTCTTCTTATTTTAAAGTGTTTTTGTTGTTGTTGTTGTTTTTTACATTTAGCTTTTGCACTTAAATCTATGATCCATGTTAAGTTAATATTTGTGTTTGGTTAATTTTGAGTTTACGTTCAATAGATATCCAAAGTTTCCAGCAACATAGATTTAGAAAACTATCCTTTCTTCATTGAATTATTTTTGTCCTTTTGTCTAAAATCCATTGCCTTATATGTTTATGTGGGATCTTGATTTGTTTTTATGGATCTAAATGTCTCTGCTTAAACAGATACCACACTGTCTTGATTACTGTAACTATAAAACATATCTTGAAGTGAGTTGGGAAGTATTTCCTCCCCTTCTGTTTTCTGAAGGAGTTTGTGTAGAATTGGTATTATTCTTCCTGCAAATATGTGGTATAATTTACCAGGGAAGCCATATGAGCCTAGAGTTTTCACTATGGGAAGATTTTAAACTACAAATTCATTTTCTTTAATGCTATAGTACTATACATGGTATCTGTTTCTTCTCAAGCGAGCTTTGTTAGTTTTGTGTTTTTCAAGGAACTTGTTTATTTCATCTAAGTTGTCAAATTAGTTGGCATGCATTTGCTTGTAATATTCCTTTAGTATCTTTTTAGTCTGTAGGCTTTGTAGTGATGTCTCCTCTGTCATTTCTGATTTTGGTGATTTATTCTCTCTTATGCTCTTGACTAGTCTAATTTAAGTAAGTTTATCATCTCAGTATTATTCTGATGAAAATTTATTGATTTATTGTTTCAAAGAGCCACTTTTTGATTTCATTAATTTTCTCTATTTATCTGATGTTGATTAAATTGATTTCTGCTTTTCTTTATTCCTTCCTCCCACCTACTTTGGGTTAAATTTGCTCTTGTTAGATCATTGACTTGAGATCTTTCTTTTCTGATATAAGTGTTTATATCTATAAATTTCCCTCTATACATTGCTATAAATTTTAATATATGGTATTTTCGTTCCATTAAA